GCCTGCTCACCCCCCCGCCCCCCGTCTCGTGGCAGGTCAGAGTGGACTGGGCAAGTCGACGCTGGTCAACACGCTCTTCAAATCCCAAGTGAGCCGCAAGGCCTCCAGCTGGAGCCGCGAGGAGAAGATCCCCAAGACCGTGGAGATCAAGGCCGTGGGACACGGTGAGGAGGGAGAGGGACAGCGGGTCTTTGGGGGCTTGTGACTCGTGAGAAAGGTCACCTCCAACAGTAGAGTGCAGCCTGAAAGCCCAGGGACCCCAAGTCCAGGGAGGGAGGAGGGGCTGGGGGCAGGGGGGGCTGAGAGGTGGGAGGAGGGAGGCGCAGGGGCGGTGGGGGGGCCGAGGCTTCCACACTGTGCCTGGGGCTCCCTGGCCGCGGAGTGGGAGGGGTCACCTCCCGTGCCTTTTCTGTCCACCCCCCAGTGATAGAAGAAGGAGGGGTCAAAATGAAGCTGACCGTCATCGACACACCGGGCTTTGGAGACCAGATCAACAACGAAAATTGGTATATGTCTGCGGGGAGGTTCCACCTAGGGCCCGCGCCAGGGGCTCAGCGAGGCGGCTCGGCCCGACACCCGCTCGCTCCGGGACGGGGGGCTTCCTGTAGGCCACTGGCTGTGCGGGGGCGGGGGGTGAGGCCCAGGGCGTCCAGCCGCTGGCTGTGGGTCTGGCGCTGGGTGCCACCCAGGCTGGCCTGAGGGCGCGGCCCAGGGTTTAGCCCGTGGGCGGCCCTTGTAGCCCTGGCGAAAGAGAAGAGGCAGGAAAGTCGGGGGAGCAGCGAGAGTGTGAGAGTGTGAGTGTGTGTGAGTGTGTGAGCATGTGTGAATGTGTGAGCATGTGTGAGTGTGTGACTGTGAGAGTGACTGTGTGTGAGTGTGAGTGAGCGTGTGTGTGAGTGCCCAGTGTGTGTGTGAGTGTGAGCGTGTGTGTGAGTGTGATCGTGTGTGAGTGCCCGTGTGTGTGAGCGTGTGTGTGAGTGACTGTGTGTGTGACTGTGTGTGTGAGAGTGACTGTGTGTGAGTGCCTGTGTGTGTGAGTGCCTGTGTGTGTGTGAGCGTGTGTGTGAGAGTGCCTGTGTGTGTGTGAGCGTGTGTGTGAGAGTGCCTGTGTGTGTGTGAGTGCCTGTGTGTGTGAGAGTGCCTGTGTGTGTGAGTGCCTGTGTGTGTGTGTGTGTCAGAGTGCCTGTGTGTGTGTGTGTGAGAGTGCCTGTGTGTGTGTGAGTGCCTGTGTGTGTGAGTGCCTGTGTGTGTGTGTGTCAGAGTGCCTGTGTGTGTGTGTGAGAGTGCCTGTGTGTGTGTGAGTGCCTGTGTGTGTG